TTGGAAACAGCCCAAATGTTCATCAACTGATGAATGGATAAAGAAGGTGTGGGTTTTTTTTACAATGGAGTACTACTCTGCCATCAAGAAGGATAAGCTTGAGACATTTCTAGCTAAATGGTTACACCTTGTAACCATATTCTTAGCTGAAATAAACCAGACATGCATGGAAATACTGCATTATTTTTCTGGTGTGAGAAACTGAAAATGTAAATAAGGACCAAAATATACATCAGATGTTGTGAAACATAAATGTTCAAATGGGAAGGGGAACTAGGGAAAATGGAGTGGTAAAAGATAGGAAAAGAAAAGAAAATGAGTTAAAAGGAAAAAATGGTAACAGAGCATTTGTAAATAAGAAGGGAATAGTGGGTGAAGGGAAATTTAGGGAATGGAGAAATAAGAATCAAGTTATATCAGGTATAGATTCCCTACAATCAATGTGATCATTATGTATACCTAAAATGTAACAATAAACTTGATTAATTAAAATAAACAATTGACAGTGTTAATGAAATAGAAGATGGATTATAGGTTTACAGCTGGGAAGATCTGAGTAACACGCCATGTACCAAACTAACTACTGAAATAACCTTAAATTCTTTCATTCAAATATTTTAGTGCCAGCTATCACCCAATTATCTTTCTAAGCCAATCTATGATGGTGGTAGATGGGACATATAAAGTCTCTGTGCTAGAGACCTGGATTAGACAAGTAAAATAAATTCTCTATGCAACATTAGGTAAAAAAATCAAGTTATATCACATAAAGATATGAATTTCCTATGATGAATGTGATCATTTTGCATGCCTAAGGAATATTAATAAAATTAATTTAAAAAATCCCCAAAGATCCAACTCTTAACAACAACAATAACAAAAATGTTTTACATCACTGGTCATTACAGAAATGCAAATTAAAACAACATTGAGATTCCATCTTACTCCAGAAAGAGATTCCATCTTACTCCAGAAAGAAAAGCTATCATCAAGAAATCAAATAATAACAAATATTTGGCACAAATATTGTATGGCACTGGGGAAATGTAGACCCTTCTACATTGTTTGTACAATTGTATTTTAGTACAGGCACTATGGAAATCAGTACGAAGAGTCTTCAAAAAAACTAAAACCAGAAATTCCATTCTACCCCAATATTCCTGTTCTAGTTATCTTCCTGAAAGAGCTAAACACAGCATATTATAGTAAGTCATGAATACCTCTGATTATAGTAGCAGAGTTCATAATAGCTAAATTTTGGAAACAGCTTATATGTCTGTCAATAAATGAATGAATGAATAAAGCGTGGTATTTATATCCAGTGGAGTACTACTCTGCCATAGGAGACAAATGAGTCACTTGTAGGAAACTGGGGGCTGGGGATTTAGCTCAGCAGCATAAGCACCTGCCTTCCAAGCAGGTGGTTGTGAGTTCGATCCCCGGTACCAATAAAAAAAAAAAGTAAAGGAAACTGGATGTTCCTTGAAACCATGTTAAATGCAGTAAGTCAAACACACAAGTTTAAATATTGCACATGTCAGAAATACTGCTTATATCAGAAATATGATAAATAAAGAGCAAAGTAAAAGATAGATAATAGGAAACAGGAAGACAGGCTGTTTACAAACAGGAAGGAGATCAAGGGATAGAGAACAGGAAACAAGGAGAAGGGAAGCAGTTGGAAAAAGAATTAAGATGTGTTATGTGCATGTATCAACTCACCATGAGAAATATAATCATTAAGTATTATAAGCATGTACTATTAAAATATAAAACCTGACAAAAACAGAATTAAAACAAAAATAACAGAAAATGTTCAAATACAGACAAAAGTAAAAAATTGATAAGCTAATGCAATGGAATAACATAGCTCTTAATATGTAGACCAAAATAATTTATTTAATTGTCTTGATTAGTATAGGATATAAGATTTTGATGTAGTAAGGTTATAATATTAAAAATAACAAAAACTAAGTAGAGTCCTATTTTGTTCCTTTTAATTTTTTTTGCCTGATTTATTGTTCTTTTTAGTTAATATGTGAACACAAAAATTACCAAAACAAAGATAAGATAGGTATTGTTACTGTTAATTTTTAATTATTTTCAATTTTTGTTTTTAATTTTCAAATAATACCAAATGAATACACAATACTTTAAAATAATATGCCATCCTTGTAAATGATCTTGTATGGCACATGGACATAATTGCATATCTCATATACTTTCCTCCTCTTCCTCTTTACCCGCATAAAACACTGCATTTCACTGGGAATTTAGCTCAGTAGCCTGGCAAGCTCGAGGTCATGTGTACCCACTACATTTCCAACACCTCTTGTACACAAAGAAGGCTACATGCTACAGTTCTAACTCGTGAGCTCTAAGGGAAAGTTGCTAGCTGCAGCACCTTGGAAATCTCTTCAAAGAAGTGCAGACCTGGTCTCTCCTCTGCCCGTTTCCCTTCACCTATTTCTTTCCTTGAGTAAGAATGTAGATCAGATAAGAAAATGAAGCAGCCGGGGCTGGGGATTTAGCTCAGTGGCATAAGTGCCTGCCTTGCAAGCAGGCAGTCGTGAGTTCGATCCCTGGTACCGATAAAAAGGAAAAAGACAAAAAAAAAAAAAAAAAAAAGAAAGAAAATGAAGCAGCCAACTTATGAGGTTATAGGCCAAAAGTCACCTACAAATAGACAGCAAAGTGGAAAGTCAGGAAGCTCCCAGATTCCTGAAGTGTCACAGAATCCTGGCACCAACCCTGACGGCAAACCATAATATTTTCTTTTATGTGTGTGGGGAAAACACCTTACTTGTTTAACCCGTTCTCTTACAAGCAGCCAAATGCAATCTTTAACTGATATACTAAAATTTAAGTTTAGCAGATCACACTACTGAAAGACACTTTCAAAATAACATATTCCAGACCCAGGGATGGTGGTGCACATGAATAATCTCAGTACTTAGGAGCCTGAGTCCAAAGGATCACCAGGAGTTAGAGGCCAGCCTGAACCTAGTCTGAGACTGTTTTAAACAAAACAAAGCCGGGGGTATAGTTCAGCAGCACAGCACTCGCTTGGCAAGTACAAGGTTCTGAGTTTGATTCCAAAAACAAAATAATATACTCTACACTACCATCAGATGAAATATGTAAACCTTCAACACACACACACACACACACACACACACACACACAATAGACTGAAAACTCAAAACTAGTCTGTATCAAAACAAGGACTTAGAGCTTCACCCTTATTTAAGTGAATAACTTTTGACAATTCCTTTGGTTACTCCGAAGCAAGCCTATAGTCTGCAGTTCCTCAAAATTAGTGTTCAAACTGAAGTCAGTCTTTCAAGTATGTCAGTATAGATTACATCTAAAGACTGAATAATCCCCAGCAATGATAGGAAGTCAGGAAATTTACAAATGGTATGAATTCATACTCTACCCTAGAAAAGCAACTAATTTAAGCCCTTTTCTCTATCCACTTCAAATGAAATTTAAAATGTTTTTATATATGGAGATTCACATATGCATTTCACAAAAATTATTTATGTCAAAGAAGACAGTATTATCTTCTGTACTTAGATATGAGAGCTCTCTCAACTAAAGGGCTCTTAATGTTAGTGCTTTTACTCAGTAGTTGGCCAAGTACTGCATTTTAAGCTTTTGGCTAGACTCCCAACTACTGCTGCTCAGAAAACCCCTGCATTTCACTGTTTAAGAAAACCTAAAAACTGCTGCAGGGCATCTGTTCACAGAACAGAACGCATGAGTTTTATACTGAACCTTCATTCTCTTCCGGCTATACTGTCTCACTACTGGTTGTTCTTTGTCCTTAGTCCTTTACTGAAGATAACAGTCTTTGAATCTAAATCTGTTAGAGAACTTTTTTTCAGTAATAATACAAATCCACATGAAAATTTTTTTCTTGCCAATATGAAAGTATTACAGAATATAAGTTTCAGGTAGCAGTTAAAAATCAGCTAAGTATTCCTTAGCTATGCAATGAAATATTTCACCAGGTCGTATCAGGCTACTGATACAAACTTCTTGTGTAGTGAAATGGGTGCAAGCTGTTTTTAGAGAAAGACTTTGACTCCACAATTGCAGACTGTGTGAGCCTGAGCAAACATAGTTAGTACCTTCATCTCTTTTAGCTCAGTGTCACATGCATTAAAGGAATACTATGAAATGTTATGGAATTGTTGCCAGACTGAGACAAAGGATGTGAAATTAACTCACATGATTAAGAATGTTCAATGATTAAAAATTTAGTATTATGTTAAATCCTCCAAATTCAACTGAGTGTTGTTTTTGTTTAAAAAAACACTTTGGTATTTCACAAGCTTTATCCATATTTTACATTTGAATGAGTGAAAAGCCAATGAAAGGGCTTTGTACAATATAAGGCATATAAATGTAAGTAATTTATCAGAGATAAAAATGTACTGTCAAAGAAAAGAAAGATGTCACTAGGGGCAATCAAAAGGGAAAATACATGGGTCACCCTATGAGAGTTCTTGTCCATTGTGGGGTAATTTTATGAGTTTTCTATTTGCTTTTATACATTTTAATGTATTTGTATATGAATGCATACATATATACACATGTATGTGTATATGTACACGTGTATACATGAAAATACTATACAGAGTGTAAAGGGGCACATTTTAAATATGTAGTATAAAGATACATACTTTGTGTTATATAGGTTTCTTCAGATTGCACAGAATAGACTCTCATATTTCCAGGCAGCCTGACCACTCAGATTCCTTTTCTTCCCTCTTGTGTATTTGTACCTATACCAGAATCTGTGCCCCATTTTATAAGGGGAAGACTGACCTGATGTCTTGTTATTGTATTCTTCATATGCAAAGAACAGTATCCCTGAAAATATTTTATTTGGATCTTGCCTCAATCATTAAACTTTTGTTTGACATCTATCTGGGGAGAAATGTACATAATTGTCTTGAGTTATTCTTTTTGCTTAACTATCGGTTACTTACCACTGGCATTCGCTCATAAACACGAATAGAAGATAGTCTGTCTATAATAAAGCAAACATAAATAAATGATACTGTATCAGTTTTAACTCAAGCTATCACACACATATGATTGCTTTTGTACCTGAAGGATTTCCACGGACTCTTTTCATTTTCTCTTCCAAGGATACAATTTGTTTTTGTAGCTGATCATTCAATTCAAGTTGTGCCTCATAGCGAGTTTTCCATTCACCACCTGAATAAAAAAGGGGAAAAAAATCAAGACTACCTTTTCATCTCTCACTTACTAATTAAAATAACATGAACCAGCTTCATCTTGACTTTCTTAGCAATACAAATGAACTGGGAAACAATGGGTAAGTCTATAAGTATTTCTATTAGATAAGATTTTCCAGACAGTCAGAACTAGATCCACCTTCAGGCTGCCAGAAAGCCAAACTTCTACATGACTATTATGGTTCCTATTCTAATTCTAATTTATTCTTTACCTCATATTAACCTTTATTTCCTATTTCCTTATATTAGAAACATGCTTTTTCCCTTGTAACTTGAAATAAACACAATACAACACCCTGAATCGTACTAACCTCCCATCCAATATCATGTTCATTGTTTTCTCTTTGAAAACCATTTGTGAGGTTAAACATAACTACCTCTTACATGTTTGCAACATGGAAAGCACACACAATGCTTCATATATCAACTAGTTTCTCATTTTAAAAATTTACTCATTTTATAAGTGAAGAAATCAATTTTCACTGATGTTAATAAACATTCTTAAAACAGTATCTTTAAGGGATGGAGATTTAACTCTGCAGTGTAAGTGCCTGCCTGGCAAATGTGCATTTATGAGTTCAATCCCTGGTACAAAATAAGTAAATAAATAAAAAGGTAAGATAGTATCTTTAGATAATAGTAAATAAGGGAATTGGGTTTAAACCCAATTTTTTTCTGACTCAAAAATGTACCCTTCCAACCACTAAGCTACAGCAACACTATGTATGCTCAGCTTCCTTTTCAGACATTTTCTCTTGGGTCGGGGATTTCCTCAGTGGCATAAGCACTTGCCTGGCAAGCACAAGGTCATGAGTACAATCCTCAGTACCAAAAACAAAATACTTTCAGACATTTTCTCTTATCCTTAGGCACTAAAACTATTTGGCTATTACGGCAAAAGTGTTTGTCTTATTATTGGGGGAGGGTAAAATACAGCATAGAATGAAAAGGTCTTTGTCCAGCTTTAAATTCCACACCTGTAATCCTAGCACTCAGGGAGGCTGAGGCAGGAGAAGTGTTGTGAGTTTAAGGCCAACTTGGTCTACACAGTGAGTTTGAGGCCAGCCTGGGCTACATAATGAAACTGTCTTGAAAGACAGACAGACAAAAAGAAAGAAAAGCAATCCAGCAAGCCCAAAGCCTTCAAAGTCAAGATCTGAAGAGGAAGGGTGGAAAGGGAAAGAGGAAGAGAGGGAAGGTGACAGATTACATATATATATAAATATATATGTATATATACTAATGTATAATATACTGATATATACTAATACTCTTCACATCTGAGATAACTTCTGGTTGGTAATAGCTGATGGAAGAGTCTAAGGAAAAACAAAGTTGTAGCACTCACCACTGCCTGACACTAGTCTCCCTCATACCTTCACTTTGCAAATTTGTCTCACCAAAGAAAGGCCTGAACACCCTTTCAAACTGAAACTAAAAGTTACTCATCTAAAATTTTAGCAAACAGAAGAATGGAAAAGCTGTGAAAATCTGAACTTTTTTTTAGTAGCCACCCTTAAACCCAAACAGGTGGAATGGCTTTTGCACTAGCTAGCTCAAGTCTCTTTTTCTCATCATCTCCCATCTCTCTTACTAAGAATGGAGGCTTCAGAGCAAGTTAAAATGATTACAATAATAAACAAAAACAAAACCCAGTCAGTTGGAGATCGTAGCATACCCATAATCCCACACCATTCAGGAGGCTGAGACATGAAGAGTTAAAGTTCCCTGGGCTACAGAGACACATCCTGTCTCTGAACAAAACACAGAGCATCCCAAGCTGCTCCCGGCAAGTCAAAAATAATTTTAATGTATGAAGAAACAAAGCAATTTATTTTTGACACATCTGAGTATAGTTTATGAAATTTGTTCCCATTTGACCTTAAATATTATTGGCCTAAAGACCATTAATTTTAGAGAGGTTTATTACTATAGTATGCTGTATTAATATTAATAAGCTCAAGGGATTTATTGGGCAGAGTGAGAAAGTAAGAGAAGATGGGAAGGGACTCAGCTTGCAGAGATAATAAAGGCATAACTCTAATGGAAGCCAGCCTGACCCATTAACAGAGAAATGGGGACAGTTCTTAAGAGGCTGGGATTGGCTAGGGCTTGGCTGATAATTATCTCAGTTCTGGGTTTGCAAGATGGCTCCTGGAGACATCTATTGCTTAATCCAGTCTCCATGAGATGACTGTTTTCGCCTAAGGAAGGTACTGCCAGAGTGACCTTGAGTTTACAGCAAAGACTGGAGACTTGTGGGTGGCTCACTGGACGTTGAGTGTCCCTGTAAATCTATTATCTTGGTGTCTTTAGTCTTGAAAGAAGATGAGAGGTTACATAATGTTTTTTTGGCATCAGGAATCAAACTCATGCTTGCTAGGCAGTTGCTTATGCCACTGAGTTAAATATCACTTGAGGTTATATAAATTTACGGTTAATTTAGTGCCAACTTTCAGATAGACATTCCCTAAATAATTATGTTGCCTGTAAAGCACAATGTTTTAAGATTAAAAAAAAAAATTCTCGTATGACATGAAGATTCAACCTTTGTTCTGCTTTTAGTTACTGAATGGGCATCTATAGTTCAAGTGTGTCACTGTTTTCTATTTTTTGGGTTTTCTTGGCCAAAACAGCTGTTAAGTCCCTGACTGCCCCAGTAGAAAACATGAATTGTGATTTTAATGAATAATAAGTCTATTGAGTTAGTTAGCTCTCTGTACCTATGGTGTCAAACTGAATATGTATATAGGTATATATATATATATATATGTGTGTGTGTGTGTGTGTGTGTGTGTGTGTAGATATATATATAAAACCACAAATGCAATTATATATATATATATATATATATATATATATATACCCACAAATGCAATTCTTCCACTCTATAAATATGGGACTAGATGGTATGGGATAAACAATGATAAAAGCACATGGAGTACTCATTTAACCAGAAAAAAAATTTGTTTTTGTTTTAAGACAGACTCTTATTATACAGTTCAGGATAGCTATGAGTTCACTATGTAACATAGGCTGGCCTTGAACTTGGCTGATCCGTCTGCCTCCCAAGAACTGGGATTACACGAATGTGGCACCACCAGGAAAAATAATTTAAAGCAGGATGGTATATCTAAAGATGAGAAAACAGTAGGCTTCTGTTGTTGTCAGGTTCCCCAAGACTCTCAAAGGGCCTGGGCACTTATAACAAGCTGTTACTTAAAGTACAGGTTCACCGATAAACATTTAACAGAAAAATGTGTGACTTTTGGAGGAAAAAAAAAAAAAAACCTGAGCAACATCCCCATAAAATTATTGCTTCTCCTTAAAAAAAAATACCACAGCAACTCTGAAAATACACAAATACATACAATAAAATGGGCATTGCACATCTTAAAAGAAAAATTAAATTTATTTTTTATCTTAAAGAACGATCGTAGCTAGGAATAATACATTAAAAAGCAAAAGAAAATTTAAAAATTACAAAGGTTTAGTTTCATGGTCAGTTTTATGAACTGATCTTTAAAAAAAGGTTTTTCAGGTAGGAAAAACAGATGAAGCCCTGTCTTTCAGATAGTTTTTTTTTTTAAACCAAAGAGAGATAGCAATGTTAACAAAAACAACAAAAAAGAGACCACTAAACAATTCTAAGTAATACATTTTTGAAGTGTTTTACAAATACAATTGAAATTTTAACACCATGTCATGGTCTATTTTGTGCTTGAACAAAATACCTAAGAACGGGTTGCTTTCAAGGCATAATACTTTGTTTCTCAGTTCTGGAGGCAAAAAAGTCTAAGATTAAAGAATGGGCACTTAATCTATAAGGGTTTTCTTGTGCCTTGTCCTTAAACAGTAGAGAAGCAAGCTAACAAAATGTGCTATGTGAAGCCTCTTTTATAAGGGCTTCATTCAACTAAAATTAAATGAACCGTGATGACAAAATCAACTCTTAAAAATCCTAGTTCTTAATATTATCATATCAACAAAACCTACATTTTAAAGAATCATAAGCAAATCGCAACACCCTAAGTAGACTTTAATAATTCAGTGATGTCTGTGTTGTTCACTATATTTATAATTACTACAATGAAGAAGTTGTCTTAATTAGAAAAGGCTATTTAAAATAAGAAAATATTTTAACACAGAAAGGAAAAACCCTAATGTGATACTCTACTAAGTACTAAGTATACAAAAATAAAATAGTTCTGTCAATCAGTAGTAGGACTACTCAGGAGAAAAAGACATTTAACCAGAACATCTGAGAAAATGTTGAGGTAAATGGATGCTTGAAATACACAAGACATCTATCCTGAAAGGTAATTAAAGGTGATGAGATCATGACTGAAGGTCAAGAAATGCTTCTTGGTAGAATGTGATCTTTAATTCAAAACACAGAAGATGAAAAATGGATACTAAAGAAGCAAAAACTGCAAGAAAGAAAAACTGATATGTCAAAAAGGAGACATATGAGGGTAGAGTTGCCTCTTCTGCAATTTTCAGATGATTTCATGATGGAAAAAATCCCCAAAGAAGTATCAGTAGGTTTGAGTCATGTCTCCACCACTTACTAGCCTATTTATATAACTTGGAGCAACTTCCTCTTTTTCACACTTCAATTTCAATTTCACAATTATAAAGTAAGAGCTAAAGTTCTCTTACAAGATACTGGGAGGAGTAATTAGTGAAAACTGCTGAGGACACTGTAGAGCAAAAACAAAATGCTGTAAAAGTTGTTGTGTTTATCATTTTCATTATCATCATTGTAAGAAATTTCCCTAAAAAATATTTCCCAAAGAGGCAGCAATATACTCCTAAAGCAATGTATAGGCTATCTATATTTAGAAAACTAATTATATCACTTCAATTCAGATTTCTTTGGCTAAAATAAAATTTGACTGTTTTTCCATACTCATGTATTTTGTCTTTATGTTGTTTTAAGAAAAGACACCACTGTAGGCCTAATTTGTTCTGTCTCTGTTTCTGTCAGTCTGTCAGTTTCTGCTGTGAGGACACAGTGAAAAGACAGCTGTCTGTAAAACAGAAAGGAGCCGTCATCATCAAATGACCTTAATCTTGGACTTTTCAGCTGTCAGAACTATGAAAAATAAATTTTTGTTTGTTTAAGCACTCAATCAGTAGTATTTTGTTATGACACTCAAAGTAAACTAATACACTGACCATCTGGTACTTTCTCATTTCAATATACAGTTCAGGATTTGTAAATTTTTTATTTTAAAGAGAATAAACAAAACAAAACAGAACAAAGCAGATCAGAGTAAAACAATGCAAAAATAACAGAGAAAGACAGCAGGAAATCAACAGTTCAGATTTTGTTCATCATAACCCATTTTTCACAAATCGTAAATGAAAAAAATTGTTTTTCTTTGATTCATAAGTAAGTGAAAGACAGAAGATAATTTTAAAATTAATTTAACAGAGCTGGGGATTTAGCTTAGCACCACAGCACCTGCCTGGCAAGTGTGAGGTCTTGAGTTCAATCCACAGTATCAAAATACATAAACAAATAAATTAAATTAAATCAAAAATAACTTGGTCCTGAATGTTAAGCATTGTAACATAATTTCAATAAACCAGACTGGTTAATTCCACCTATTTTGGAATTGTGTCCATAGAACTGTGTTCCACTTTGCCAAGTCTAATGAGAACTCCCGGTTCTCATCGTATTGAGGATAAATGTGTTGCAATTCTTTACCATGTTCATTAGTATTCATTCACCACAATATTCCCCTCCTAACATCATACCTGCTTAGCAAATTCATATATTGAAGTCCCAACCTACCAGTACCTCAGAAGATGACTGAATTTAGGAAAAGAGGTTTTAAAAAGGTAACTAAAGTAAAATTAAGTCATATATGTGATAACAGGACAACTGTCTTTCCAAGAAGAGAATAGAAACAAATACAAAGAGAAGGCCATATGCACACACAGGGAGAAGGTAGCTACCTACCAGTCAAGCAAAGAGGCGTCTGAAGAAACCAATCCTCCCAACACCGTGTTTTCAGACTTCCAAACTCCAGAATTGTACAAAAATAAATTTTGTGGTTTAACCCATCCTATTTGTAGTACTATGTTATGAGAATCTGAGAAGACTAACACATATCTTTTCTGTTCCATTTATTTTAATGACAATAGTTTTATTGTATCTTATAGGAATTTCTTTCAATTGCTTATTAGTTATACCTAGTTATGCACCACATTAATGTTACAATAAATTATTTGAGTTTAAGGAGAGAAAGTCCTGGGCATTTTAATAAGACTTAATAACAGTAATGAGCATATTCATAATATTCAATCCCTTTACCTACAAAAAGTGTGTTCTCTTTTACTATGCAGTAATAGTAATGACATGGTAAAGAATTGCAACACAGTCCTCAGTAAGATTAAGATAAGGACTGAGTGTTGACATTACCCTTGGCAAAATGGAAAACAATTCTATGGGCTGTGTAATTTTTTTCACTAGTGTTCAGATTGGTAGAATTTTATCTTTTCTATTCATATTTTAGGTACTTTCTCCCCCAAATCAGAAAACCTCTTAAAAATGAGGAAAATAAAATCTTCCACTTAAAAGTGTTGACATATGGGACCTCAATCAATATTTGTGCAATAAATTAATATCCTGCATAATCTTGAGTTTTAAGAACATATAGGTATATATGGTATATGCCTGTGCAACACCCACCCCACTCCTACACAGGCCATATTTGTTCAAAATAAACAAACAAAACAAAAAGTCAAACCTTGGATGAGATTTTTTTCTGAAACAGAGATTTCACTATGTTGCTTAGATTGCCCTCAGATTCATGAGTATCCCATCTCAGCCTTCAGAACTGTGGGGATTCAGGAATGTGCCATCATATCCAACTCATTTCTCCTAGGCATGGGACTTTAACATTACACTCCGGCCAGGGATTGTGGCATATGTCTGAAATCCCAGCACACTGGGAGGCTGAGGTGGAAGGATCACAAATTTGAGCCCAGAATAAAGAAAAGCTTTACTCCAAATGTAGTAAAGATATAAAGACTGTGACCCACGTGGAGTAGAAAATTTGTAGTATTATTTACTAAGGAAATGATATGTTGATGTTGCATAACAAAGGTTTTGTGAATTCACATTTTGAACCTGTAAAGTCAAAAAATAGATAGTAATGGAGTTCATATTCTAAGTATCTGTTTTAAAATTCTTATAAATTATTATTTATGCCAAAAGTAACACTGGTATCTTGCTACTATTATACAATGTATGTAATTTAACATACAATAGTTATCTGGGTAAAATTAACAGTAGTTATACAGGAGTCACATGTATAAATATTTACTTATATACCTTCATTGTCAGTATTGAGTTTGGCTTCCAGTTCTGCTATCTTGCGTTTTATGTCAACCATTGAGAGCTGCACTACATCCCTGTTATTAAAAATATTTGTTAATTGCCATTTAATTAAAAACAAGATAAGACTAAAACAAAGTAACCCACTGCTACTTCAAAAACAATTTATTATGAAATATAACTTACTGAAGTCATGGTTGAGACTCAGCAATCAGTCAAATGAAGGCTTATCAGTCAAATCCAGAAGGAATTAAAGATACAGGAAAGCTCAAAGCCTTCAGGTAACCATTGGATGCCCTTTACTCTTAGATATGATTCTCAAAATGTCAGTTGTCTCAGGACCAATAAATTAAGAGTTGCAAATTATTACAAAAAAGGTGTAGCTAAAGCAAAAACCCAAAACAAAGAAAAAACAAATTTAAAATCACACACAAATGTGTTACAATAAAAAACTAAGGTAAATATTAACATTTAAAAAATGTATTGTAGTAAGACACGTTGCTGTTGATCTCCCTCAAAATACGTTACCTCACTTAAAACACACTTATTTCATCATTCTTGCCACTTAATGAAGTTCTAAAAGTCTTCTTTCTTGAATGTCTTGGGTTGCATTGCCATGGCTGCTTCATAAACTGAATTGATTCAAAATATTTACCTTTCATGGTCATTTTGACATTGGGGAAGAGCCAGAAGTTGCAAGGTGTAACATCTGGTGAATTATGTCCTTACACACTATGTTTTTATGAGCCTCACCTCTCACAAAGAAAAGTGGCAAAGATGATAGGATAAGTGTGTTCAGAGCTAGGGCGACTATCTTGAGGAGGGTCAATGGCAATGTGTCTTTTCCCATAATTTTTTTTAATTTAAACATTCACTGAATACTTTGATCACCCCTTGTACAGAGAAATTCTTTCAAAAAGCACTAGTAAATATAATACACCATGGTGACAAGAATCATTTATTCAATAAATAGCTTTGAATTTCTACTATATTCAAGATGTTGACAGCAAAATGAATGCATTAAAACAACAGTAATAGCAGCAGCTAATGTGCACTGAATGCTTATTACCAACACATGCCAACTCATTTACATTACATTTCATCCCATCTTGGTAATAAATACAGGGATTATTTGCATAACAATATTAAGAGTTGATGAAGTATGAGGGTTAAGATTGCATAATTACTGAGTGATAGTAGCTGAGATTTGAATTGATGCAAAATTCTTATCAAGTACTTTAGTACTTGTTAAAGTACTGGTTCTGATCCTTTACTGCCTCAGACAACACATAAAACCTGTTCACAGAATTAAGAATAAGGCAATTAGAAGTGTGGTTGGGCACAGAGCCTGTCTGGCAAGCACAAGGTACCAAGTTCAATTCCCGGTACCAAAAATAAATAAATACACAAACAGAAGTATGATGGTAGCCATCATAGAGGACAGAAGTCTTAATTCTCATGGTGAAACAGGGGAACAGGGAGAGGGACACTTCTCATACTCTATAGTGAGGCCATCCTCACTCTACAAAGACCAATTAGACAAGTGCTATTTTCAAGGCTTCATTTGAATCTTACGTTCTTCACAGGACCAAACAGAAGATGCTCTTTTCAATCCTTCTTCTGCATATGGGCACAAGGAATCAGAAGACACTGTTCCTGACTCTTCATTTACATACAGCAGGAAGCCAATCATAAAAGTTTATACAACTGTAAACACACACAGCACAACGAATCACAGGACATTGTCCCTGACCCTTCATTTACGTACAGCAAGAAGCCAATCATAAAACAGTTCACAGAACCCAGGAACTCTGGATACAAAAGACCCGTTTCCCTTATTCTAGCTGTAAGCCTTTTCATTCACCCACTCTCACTGTGCAGAACATATACCTCTTTTCCACCTGCAATGAAAGTACACTTTCACTGCCATTTCTGTGTGTTGTCCAGTTCTATGACATGATACTGGAAACCTCATAGGACCTCCCATTCTTTTAACAATCAGGCCTGAGGGTAGCATTAGGATTATCCTTTTAAAACCATACTCTGAACATCCAACATTTGACATGAAGTACTAGTATTCTTTTAAAAGCATATAGGAGGCTGGTAATATAGCTCACAGGTGGACTGCTTGTCTAGCATTTGAAAGGCCTTGGGTTGGATATTCAGAAAACCAAAACACAGAAGTTTGAAAAAAGCATTTAAAGATTCCTGATTTTTTACAAAATGTCACTTCTGAAGTTCTTCTATAGAGAAGAAAGAAATGCTTAACCAAATAAAATCCTTGGAAGATGAAACAGAAAAACCTGAAATTTAGTGGAGCATCAAAATTAAACAGGAATTTTAGCATCACAGTATAGGGACCTGATATACCCCGAATTGATCTTCGAGGCAGAAGTGGCCTAGTCACACTACCTAAGGTAAACGAATCTTTCACATAAAATAGTGTTTTGGGAGGTTGCTCAACGTGCCCTGTATTAGTCAAGTCTCAGATCAACCTCAGTGGCTTCCGCAACTGGGTGGCAGGCAGGGACGCCCCAGGGAGGCCAGGAGGGTGAGCCCCTCGCCGCCCACTCACTTCCTGTGGATTTCTTCCAGCAGCTGCACTTTGAGGCACTCCAAGCTCACGCCTTCGAAGCTGTCGCCTCTCCCCTCCCCCATGGAGACAGGTCAGAGAGTTCCTACGCTCTTCCCGTCTGCGCACTGTAGAGCACAAGACCATAAGGGACACCCGGAAGCCGGGAAGCAGAAAGCGCTGCCACGAGCCGCCCCCATGGCCGACTGCCTCACAGTCGCGGGTCCGCACTGCCCCACTACGCCACGTGGTGACGTCATAGGCCGCGCCGGCGTCGCCAAGCAACTGGAGGGCGGAGGGGCGGGGCAAAGGCCCGCAAGCTGGGGGTTAGTCGCGGGCCACCTTGTAAACAGCCCCATGGTTCAGCAGTCTCCTAACCGATGGCAGGGACTGGTTACGAAGGGCCCGATCTGGAGGCCAGAGGGACGTGCGCGGGTTACACATCTGTCCTGTATGAGGGAACTCAGAACATCCTGCTCCTTTACCTGTGTTTCCTTAACTCCTGTCCTTCATCAGGGAAATGCTTGACCCAAGAGTGGCTTGGCTTGGCTTGGCTTGAGTTGAGTCTTACTGATTATTTTTGGCACTCAATCCGAAGCAGCGCAGGAGAAATGAGACAAAATAGGAAGAGACTTTTAGTGAGGGCATGGGAGAGCTTTATAGGGGTGGCTCTCAACAAGTACAAAGATGTAGGGCTACTTTTACCAGTTTTGGCTGGAGGAGGAGTTTGGGAAATAAGCAGAATGACATATCAACTGCTGATTTGAAGGAGCATCGCCTGTGTTAAACAGGAAACACAAAGGTTTACTGGGGCTTGGGGGTTGAGGCTTGGGTGGTTGTGGAGGCTTGGGATTGGAGAAGGCCCAGAGCAAGCACAAAATGGGAGCTGGAGGTTTATCTCTGGAATGAGGAGAATATAGAAGTTACTCTTGGAGAGGTAAGGTGTTTCTGTGGGTCAGGTACCAAGTTGGGTGGATGTCATGTTACAAATGACTAAGCCCCAGGCTAGCAGAACCTATCATGTAGCTCAGCTTCTGGTTAGGTGTGTTGGAAGAGGAGCTGACCTTAAAAAGATACCGCCTGAACTTGGAAAGACGTTTAAGTTTCCCAGCAAGATAGTCTGTCTTGGAGTTTAGGCAAATCTCTGGACTGTGCTCTGCGACTAGAAATTTCATTGTATTTTAATCGTAAAGTTTGCATTCTACTCCTGCAATGTCTGTGCTTTAATCTTCCTTCACACCCTCAAATGTGCACTGGCTGCTATGTGTTTGAATATAGTTTGTGCTCTTCAAAATTAAGGTTGAAATTTAAAGCCTGTTGCGAGATAAAACTAGGAGACCTTTAAGAAGTGATAAGAGCTTTGCTTTCATGAGTGGAGTAATCCATTTGTCTGATGAATGGTTAGTGGCTTATCTCCAAAAGGAATCTGTGGTAAAAGCCAAAGTGACCAGGACACTCTTCTACTCTATCTCAGGCCATATGAGACCTTGCACTACTTTGTAATTTTTGCCAGCATAAAGGCCAATACCAGATGCAGCCCATTGTCTTGGAGCATAACCATGAGCCAAAGTAAACATCTTGATTGCATACCCGGTCTGTGGTATTGTATTAGTGGCTATAGAAAATGGTCTAAAACAGTATACTTCACCTTCTGACGCTAGTACATTTTCCTGAATCAACTTGAGAAGTGTGACCATGTTTTCTGGCAAAAATCTACACAAGTGGCCTATCTCTGGTAAGTCTTCTTTTTTTTTTGGTTCTAGTGCTGAGAATAGCCCTTAGTAGGGCTGTGTCATACTTCTATAAAAGGAAAATCTTTCAAATATTTAAAAGATAAAAAGAGCACTTGATTAATACTTGCTTTATTTCATTGCTGCTTACATGTTTTTGGAAAACCAATAATTTATGGGGAAATATTAGAAAGTGACAGTAAAAATTACAACCTTAGAGTGGCATACTTAATTTATACAAAATGTTGGGCATGGTGGAGCACATCTATCATCCCAGCACTTTGAAAACCAGAGGCAAGAAGATTGCAAGTTGGGGGCAAGGTGGACAACTCAGTTATTTAGCCAGATCCTGTATCAAAATTTGAAAACAGAATTGGGAATGTTCTCGGTGAGGAGGCCCTAGGTTTATTCTCCAATATTGAAAAAACCTGCAAAATCGAACAAAAATGAAGTGGGTTTTGATTTAAAAAAAAAAAAGATTTGACAAGTTCAGAAAAAAATCTGTATTGGGAAAGTTTTAAGCAGGGGAATGGTTTAAAATTGAGAAAAACACAAATGTAGCACATTAGACTGATAGTCTTCACTGTCCAAAACAGTCACCCAGAATTATAGACAATCTGAAGCATTTCAGCTTCAGTTCAGGATTCAGTTGAACTAAGAACAAAAGATTATTGTGTACAAAATGATGTATAAGATGTTAAATATATTTGCTGCTTCCAGAGAACCCACTGTTTAATAGAAAAGTGCAATAAGAAAGATTTAAAGTAAGTTTCCTCTTAAAAATCTCATTGTCTATCCTCTACATTGGTGGCATCTTCCCTTCTACCACAACTAGAGTTCTTACATTTTTTCTCCTTTATAGGAGTGGAGGTGAGAATGTGCTGATGATAGCTAGTTATATGTTGAATATTGTTTCAGATCTTCCTAATATGCACAACTGACACATAAATTTTAAATGTCCAAACCCAGAACTGATATTTTTGTTCACTGGTTCCCTTGTGTAACCCTCTGCCCCTTTAGGTCAGGGAGACCAATCATTTCCTTTCTGATGCTACTTTCAAAACACTACATTTCTGTCTGCATGTATAAAAACTACTACTGTGGTCCACGTGGCTGCATAATACCCTCTACTCTTCCTCCTTGCTATACTCAAGAGACTTCATAGTCACACCTTATCTCTATGACAACCAAAGGGCCTTTCCATTGTTTTGTCATACTCCTAGCTGACGGGACTGTCAAAGGCTGCTCCCGTCCCACAACTTTAACCTGCAAACCACAACTTTCATCAGTTGTATCTCCACTTCTTTTCCACAGCCATACTTTCAAGTTTGTCATCATTCAGAATGGCATTACCTCAAATACCTTAAATTCAAAAACTATCTACAAAGGCTCTTGTCTTTTCATCTCCCAATCAGTTATGGCTCACACAATAGTATTTTATTCACTAAAGTTATGCTGTGGAGGCTCATTAAATATATATATATACTTCAGGATCCTTTCTTATATATAATAGATCTTCTTTCATCAATAACACACTCAAGCAGTTTGATCTTGAGCTAGGTTCTAAATCTGTTTTAAAAATTTGAACAGGATATATGCAGGAATATATCCTTACTGGTATCTTGTTTCCAATGAATAATCTCAAGCAATGAGACCCATGATCACTCTTTGAATAAAATATGTCTTAGGGCATTATTTCAGGCTTTTTTTTAAAGAAAAAAAATCTGATTGGCCTGACTTTTCTTCTAGATGTTTTAAGTATATGTGAATACAGCAAGTCCCTGACTTACAAACATTCAAACTGACAGCTTTCACAGGTAATGAACTAAGTTGGTATTAGGAACATTTGTAGATGTGAACAAATTGCAGAAGCAGCACGTCTGTGGAACATTGTCACAGTCCTGTTGCATTGTGCTCAGTGTATAGTGCAACAGTACAATGGTTAGAGCTCAGGATGTCTGGAAGCAAGTGGAAAACCAGTGGTGTTGTGGAGGAGACTGCTAGGAAATACAGAACAATATACATTGTATATTTGTGTCGAAGATGTATGTCTTGGTTACTTTTCTCTCATTGTTAGGAGAAAATACCTGACACCCAAAAGGAGAAGGAAAAGTTTATTTAGTGCATTGTTTGTGGAGGTTTCAGTCCATAATCAGTTGGCTCCAAGGCAAGGTGGCATGGCACTGGAGCAACCCTTCAAGGCAGCAGTCAGCAAAAGGAGCTATAACAAAAGGTGGGGAGAAGAAGCCTCTGCTCCCTTATATTGTAAACAGGCTACCCCCACCCAGGGTGGGTATAGCACTCACACTACCTCTGTGCCCTCCTCTTGCACTGGCTGAGGATGTTACAAAGTAAAGGACCCTGGCCCCCTGCTGAGTCACTTAAATTTCTGACCTCAAATTGACATAGTGCGCAACATCCTAGAGTTAAGATGGCTTGAAGTATTTTTGTTGCTAAATACAAAATCAAAATCTGTGAGTAAATCTGTTATGGCTTGTAACACCCAAAGCTTTTCACGCTCATAGATGGGGCTTTTGGAGGTGGTTGGATCTAGGGTCTATGAATGTAAATTAATGGTGTGATAGTGGGACTAAAGGTGTGTAGCTTAGTCTAGTAATTAGTTTAGCATGATTCTTCATGTGGATAATGGAAGCCCCACCCTGAGTGTGAGTGGCACCAGTCATTAGACTTACAGCCTGGATGGAATATAAAGAGAAGGAAGGCAGGCTTGCTGCTTTCTGGATCTTGTCTGCTCTGCCATGAGCTATATTCTCTTATATCCCCCTCTGCCATGAGCCAGCATTCCTTGGAACCAGCTGACAATAGACTGAAACCTCTAAAAACTGAGCTGAAATAAACCTTTTCTCCTTTAATTGTGCATTTTGCGTATTGTTTCAGCAATGAGAACAGTGAGACAGGTCTGTTTGAAAACATCTAGTATTTAGTGGGAAAAGAACAGAGAATAAGTATCTCTTTCACCAGAGCATTTTCATCACACTTACAATGAAAAGTAGTGTTGTGGGAAAATTCCCAAGTCAAACTGAAAGAAAGACTCCTTGCACCAAGGAGATTAGGCAATGGTTAATCTTTACACCAACAGACTGTTGCATGATCATTCCCAAAGGCAATAGCCTTGAGTTTACAAAGCATTTAGTTTATTTAGCATTTAGAAGTGGGAAGCACAAAGCAGGTGACAAAATGTTACATAATTTGTTATGTGCATCGAGTCATATATTGACAAGCTAGTTTTGAACAGATTT